ATATAATGGTAAAAATGATGGCAGTTGGCCAGCAGCCTACCATGCATAAATCAGTGTGAAGTTTCAGGCTGAAGCCTTCAATTGTGTCAAAGAGACAAATGCAAAAGAACACAGTTTTTATACATTCACTCATTTTAGGAGACATTATTTTCATATAAATGTAGGTGCACTACTGGATGAAACAGCTCAAATTTGTTTCTTTATTAAACATGAAGAAATGCATTAAGCTAGATATAGTATTTAGATATTAAATATTGACATATTTGTAATGATATATACCAGGTAAATCTTAATTTATTATTCTATAAGGGAGCAACTATACAGAACTGGAAGAAAGGATAGCTGGCTTTGCAAAAGACTTTATATTTTGTGCCTCAGTTTTGGAATATGCATATTTAGACGTTCATAAATCATATGAACACCTGTTGTGGTAGGCCTTTATCTAACCATACATGCCACAAGAAGTCGCAGAGTGGGATCCTGCAAAGTGATAAAGATGGGAACTCAAGGTCAGCTACTGAGCCCAGAGTTTAAGAGCTTTAGCAATCTGTCAAATGAACATAAGAGCAGTTTCCCTACTCTATGACCAACTCTTAGTCTTAAAAATACAGAAAATTTTAATAATCACAGTCAACACAAGAAAAAAGTGAAAGAACTAAGCCTTCCAATGTCAATTAGGAAAGTATACAGCTTTTTAAATATGGGGTATCTATTTACACAATGTCCCTTTAAAACACATATGTTGCATCTCCTGAAGATTCCATCATTCCCCCCTATTTATCCCATGACAGCTCAGGCCTGGACATCTTTAGGGAACATCCTAAGACCATTTTTTATTTAGGCAGGCTTTTAGCAGACACGATTACATTTTAGAACACTGTGGGGGGGATGTGAAGTTTGTTATTTATTCCATACTGCTTTATGTTATCTATTTTTTTTTAATAAATTTATCTCGTTTGTATTACAAGCCACAATTGGCCTTTTCTGGGGAGGCTGGTATATCAATCAATCAATAAAAAGATTCTATAACTGCACACAAAAACTGTTAGAAGATCATAAATATGGTGAAAAAAGCAAGCACTTGAAAACTAAGAACAATTTTATGGTTGCCTGTGCCAAACTTAACTTGACCCATGTGTGCAAGTGTTTCATGATGCACTATTTAACTTCATGATTATGTACCAGGCTCCACTCCAGACCGCCTCTGGGTCCAAGTATCAGCCTCTAGTCTGTTTCCCTCCCCTCCCAACAACATTCTTGGTTCAATGTCAGCTTTCTCTGTCACGCTACCTGGGCCCACCAGTGTAGACAGTGGAGTCCTGGCATTATTACATATGCGTAGGATGACAAGAGGTTGGAGTCTTCTAGCACATTTGAACTCCTAACCTTAATGATGTCATGACCCACTTCTGAAAGCTGAGCATGTGCAGTGAGTTGTTTGACCAGTACCTAGCTGTTTGTTTGGTAACCAGGGGAACTGCAGCAGTTAGGAATATTATGTTAATGAGTTATTATGGGTTGTTAGGGTAGTTTGATTTTTATGGTCTTAGCTGTGATTGACTTGATTGAGAGAGTAATGACTGGATCTGCACAATTGACAGGTGGCGTGGTTCAGATGTTATAAAGCCTGTCCAGTGTAGGGGCTAGGGTGACTTTTGGGGCTTGTTGTTGGAGTCAGAGCTCACTGAGATCTGCTCTATCTTGTGCTCTCTCCATCTTTTGCTTGGTGTGTGTGCGTGTGCAACTGATTTAGTATTCAAGTACTTGTGTTTGTGGAACCCATCATTTATTGACTGTGGAGCGAGCGAGAATAGTGTGAGAGAGACAGTGTTTGGGAGCAACGACAGGAGGGTCCCGATTACCTGAACACTTGCCAGCCACTCAACTGCTTCTGTGTTGCATCAGTCAGGTAGGGTATCACCTACCCCTTTTCTGAGGTGCTCAGTACCCACCTGCGTGTGAGGAAGCAGCATAGAAATCCTCACGGGGGCGAGGCTGCAGAGCAGGCCTGCCCTGCTGGTCAGCTGTCTGGGGTGATAGTCGGCCACTAAGGGTGACAGGCTGGCATCGGGTTCTTAGCTGTTCTATAGTTTAACTGTTTATAGTCCTGTATACTGCTGTTTGGTTTTGTTGGTTCTTGTCTTAATATACTTGTTAAACTTTACATCCTGTGGGATTTTGCTTGGTACTTTGCACTTCTGGTCAGTAGGCCAATTTCTAGAAGGATTTAACTCTTTGGTGTCCCTCAAATCTAATGGAGAGGTTGGTAGGGTATAGAGGCTTAACAACCCTCAGTGTGTGTTTGAGGACATGGGTGGGTGCTTGAAGTGGTCTGCGGGGTTCTCTGCTTTATTGGGGTGTGCCTGCCTTCTCTTTTCCCCACTCTTCACCAGAGCAGCACAGGAAAGAGTATCTTAGCACTTATATTGCCAGTGCTTGGACCCAGACTCAGCACAGCCTGGCACAACCCAGAGCTACAAGAATAGGGAAAGTTGTGCTCAAATCACAGGATTGAATCTGTGGGAAATGTAGCGCCTAATAACCAAGAGCTATATCTAATAAAGGTCTCAAGCATTTGCTTTAGATACTTATGTTCAACAGTCATTGGATAAAATGAAAAACAACAATTGAGGGAATAGGGACAAATACCCAAGGCCATGAACGACATGTGACCCCGGTGGCTGGGCAGCACAGAGGTGGCAGGAAGGTGGAGGCAGGAGTGTAGCAATGGTAAGCAGGAGCTCCCACAGAGGCCACTGCTGCTGTCAGCAGTGGAGCTGGCGGGGGGGGGACACCAACCAGATGCCACAGGCAGTGTCAGCAGTGGTGATTGCTGACCACCTGCAGCTGCTGCCAGCAGTGTCTGGGGCAGGGAGGGAGAAGATGAGCAGCGAGCAGTGAGAACCCACTGTTGGTGGCACCTTTTTGTAGGAGGTGCACCATCATGCCCCTATGTGTCGCCCCTGCCCCAGGCTCCTCCTCTTCACCACTGTGTTAGAGGCCAGATTACTGTGATAGTCTCTATGATTCCATCTCCCTTCCTCACCTGATAAATCTCAATTTTTTGGCTACATTGTGGCATGGTTTGAACAGGAAGAACTGTGTTAAGTGAGTACCCCCAGCCAGAACAGTCTCTAAGCTTGTGCCTAAGGTATTCTCCTACAAAAGGGGAGACTTAGGTTTCGCTCCCAGGGAAACTCACGTCTCCCATTTCATGGACACTGCTCTAACTCAAGGCATTACGTAGAAAGGTAGGCTCTAGCTACCACCACCTTATAGGAAAAAAGAGCCATGCTCTACTCTCAAAGATTAAACAAAAGTGCCTGCCATCAGGAGAGGACTCTGGATCCCAAGTGACTGGAGATGCCTTTCTGCAGCTCTGAGTCAGAGAAAGGCAGGGTTTAATGCACCCACCTGTGCTCACATCTCCTCTTGGTTAGCATCTGGGCAGGTTCCTCTGGGGATGCCCAACTCCCCCTGTACATTGTGTATAAAGTAGTCTTGGCACTACCACAAGGTTCTGGACTCTACTCTGGAAGCCAGGCACTTCAAGTGAAGCATTGTGCTATGCAAGCCCTTTACTGTTTCTTTATCTAAAGTCTCTGAGGAGCACATGTAAGCCTGCTGATTTCCCAGAGGCCGATAACCTGACCAGATTTGAGTGGATTTTCAGAGAGGAACTAATGCCAAACTTCAATTCTCTGCTTCAAGGCAGGGGGCCAACAGCCACATTCCAAGAACAAAAATGTTGTCTTCAGAATCTTGGTAGTGTAAACAAAGCACATTTTTCCCAATTTTATTTTCTGAAGCAGTTGAACTGTTCTAAATGATATTTCCCCATAAAAAAGGTTAAGATTTTTTTTTTAATTTTAAGTATGGCCAAAAGGCAGCTGAAACAACTCAATGGTTTTACAATTGAAAGTTTCAGGCAAACTTAATACTGCAAAGTACTACCCACTAGGCCTGTGCAAAGCAGCTGGTAGTCGCTTAACATTTTAATTCAGCCAATTTGGGGGACAGCGATTCAATTTGGCGATTTGAATCACTGTCCTGAATCAATTCGGCTGAACCTCCAAATGGGACAGGCCCATCCCCCGCCCACTCTCCTAGTACCAACAATGGCTGCCCCACCCAGCCCCAGCTCCTGACTCTTAAAAAATAAATAAATAAAATTAAAGACCTGGACTCATTGGCTCCTGCCAGGTGGGGGTGGGGGGGGAGCAATCCCTATTGCCTCCCACTGCCCCGTGCTTTGTGGGGGGCTCTGCCACGAGCCCCCAGAAGCCCCGGAGTCAGGCAGGGCAGCCCAGAGCTGGGGTCAGGCAGGGCAACCATGTGGGGGGGGGGGGGCTGGGAGAGTGGGTGAGTCAGGGATGGGGCCTGGCAGGGGACCCCTTATGGTCCCCTCCCCCTCCTCCAACCCTCCCCTCACCTTCTACTTACCAGCACAGAGTCCGGGTCCAGCTCCCTGCGGCAGCAAATGGGGACTGCCCAAGTCTCCGAAGCTCTCCGAATTGATTCAGAGAGCTTCAAAAATAGATTCAGACTTTTTTATTGGTCTCCCGATTTAATTCAGATTCAGAGATTCGGCCACCGAATCAGGCCAAATCTCCTCCGAATTGAATCAGCACCCAAAGCTTCGTAGAGCCCTACTACCCACCTTATCTGAATTATTAATCACAATTTAAACAAAGCAAAGCAGACAAAAAATTGTCAAAAACATTTCAGTCACAAAGGGTTGTCATCAGTAATCCCTCGATTCAAGGATGATCTCTACTACAGCTCATTGATAGATCCCAAGATGACCTATGAGTTCAACCCTCTCATCCATTCAATATTCAAAATCAGTTCTGAAAGGAAGGTGGTCCTTAATGAGAATCAAGATGAATAATCCAAAAAGGGAGAACAGAGTTGGGGTGATAATGTATCCTTTCTTGACCCCAGTTTGGATGACAAACAGATTTGTCTCCAATCCAATACATAAGATGGTCACAGTCTAGTCATGAAGAAGTCTCAGGGCTTTAATGTACTTTTCAGGACATACAAGTTTTAGCCAATACTTTCCAAAAGGCTTCACAATTGACAGAATCAAAGGCCTAAGTGAGGTCAATGAAGGCCATATACAGGTCCTGATGTTGTTCCTGACACTTTTCTTGGACCTGGTAGGCAACAAAGATTAATGTCAGTTTCCCCACAGAATAGAATGAAACCAAACTGAGATTCTGACGGGACTTCCTCAGCAAGAGGTAGAAGATGGTTCAAGAGTATGTGCACAAGAATTTTCCCTTCTGTAGAAAGGAGGGTGAAACCTCAATAGTTCCCACACACAGACTTACCTCCTTTCTTGAAGATAGTCACAATGTTGGCACTCCTCTCATCCCCCAGGATCACTTCATTGTTCCAAAATCATAGAATAAATTCACAGAGTCTCAGTACCATTTTCTCACTGCCAGTCTTGTAGATTTCAGCAGGTATGCCATCCAGTTCTTGGTTTCCTAGATGGCATAACAGACTTCTTCTGGGATAGGAAGGTTGGTGAGGGAGCTCCTTTAAGGGTGTTGAGGGGGATGGACTCAATGGTGGTATCTGCTATGGTCAACTCACAGTTCAGAAGTGGCTCTGATGGATAGAAAAATAGTATTTAGGTTTTCTTTTGGGAACTGGTTTGTAGGTAAGATAGATATACATTAAAACAATGGTCCAGGGCACTGGCAAGGGTTAATTGATTTCTAAAAAGCCTGTTTGTAACAAAGTTTCCTCAAGGCCAACTGTATCTGACACAGGCTAGCAGCAAATAGACACACAGGATGGGAAATTGGAGACATGTACCACACTGTTCCATAACATGAGATAATGGACTCTGAAGCTCTGGCACCAGGCCGCAGTTCCCATGTGCAGAGAGCCCTTGGAATTTCCAGTTTTGGTTGATGGACCAAATTAGGAGGACACTGGAAAAAAACAAATTAGGATGGGTGCATGTGATGGGTTTGTGAAACAAGGGGATAGCTGACAGGACAGAACATGGACAGTATGACTACCACAGAGAGATTAATCAGCAATGCTCAAAGATAAAGAGAGTCAGAGGAAAGAAAGAATGCAAAAAGAGTCATTTTAGAGCAGCAAAGGGTCCCCAAGAGGCCATTAGGGACAGAGGACATACCACAAGTCCATTTTACTCACCCCACTGAGGGGGGTGGGAGCGGGGCATGGACCTCCAGCCTGCTGACATCTGACATTCAAGAGAGAACCTCAGAGGGATGCTTGCATACTGGTCAGATGTTCCTCAACTCTGTGAACCCTAGGACTGGTAGACACAGAATTGTTGCATTATTCTTATCTACTATCACAGTGTATCCATAAAATTTGTCTGTTATCAAATGGAGAGACTGTGGTCAGTCTGAGGGTTTGGGTCCACTTAGAACATGGTATCTGGGTCATAAATCCAATGCCAACAATTGATGACTCCACCAGGACAGTGACTCTGACTCAAGGACTGGGACCTGGTCTAGTGCCAACAATTGGTGACTGGGTCCTTGGGACTGTGACTTGAGGGCAGTAACCTGGCTAATCAGGGAATTTGCTGACACAGAGTGAACCTCTCTAGAGGGGTCAGACAAGTCCCGTAGTGGGGTAAGGTTATGGAACAAGAGGTGGAGACCTGTTTGTAAGGGGAAGCCATTCGGTAGTTCCAACTAGGCTTGTAAGCTAAATAACCATGTTTTTGTCACAGTCTTTTGTGCAGGAGGTTATTTGTTGCACTGCTGACCAAGGGGGTGGTTGTTTGTCCGAGTCAGAAAGAGTAGTGTACAGGGGTACAGGTGTGTTGGTGGCAGGGACAGCAACTTTGAGGAAGACAGGGTCACAACCTGATCTTGGAGTGTGTCTGAGATTCATGGTTTGGACAAAGGTATGTGCAGTGGTCCACTTCAAAAGCCAGGAATAGAGAAAACTGATCTTTGCTGGGGGAAATGTGTGAATCGCAGGGAAGGAGTCCTTGGGACTGAGGCATTTGTAAGCAAGGCTGCTTCTGCAAAAGGAGAGTGTTGCTTTGTATGGATTATTAATGTCATGTTTATAGAGCAGTGTTGTATGTTTGCTCTGGAGACTGTAATTTGGAAGTTACAGTTGCACCTTATGGCAAGCCAGAATTATCCAGGCAATGCAGCTTCAGGGAGCTTGGACACAGTTAAAAGGAAGAGCAGGAAAGGCCCAGACCCTCCCTGACACTGGGGACAGATGTGAAACAGACACCTTGTGATCCTGTGTGCCCCTCAGACTAGTCAGTGCCACAGAAGTTTGATTTTTGGAGGCATCTGATATCATAGGAGGTTAGGAGGGGGCACAAGCACTGTTACTGGATACCTGCATATTATTTTTGCTGCTTTGGCTTATTTTGCTAGCATGCCTTTGTGTTGTAAGGCAGTAGCAGAGGAATTTGTGCATTGGTATGGGAGGTGAGGGATGACTTTACTATTCTTGCAGAAGGGAGAGCAAGGCAGATTCTAGAAGTGAAGAGTGTTAACAGCTTCTTAAGGCAGGAAGGCATTTACAAAAACTCATAGTGCAGCTGTGTAAACGAAGAGTCAGTGCTGAGAAGCTATTCAGAGTAAAAAACAAACAAACCAACCAACCAAGACACCACAGGTCTTATCAAAGGTGCCTTTAAAAATTAAATTAAAAACAAAACCAAAACAACACAAACACAAACACAGATGCATGGTTTTGAAGTTCTTTTTAGGGCTGGATGGTTTCCCGAAAGATTGTGTGTGGTTTGTTGACCGGAGGTAGGAGGACAGTAGCTTTGCTGTCAAAGATACAAGACAGAACTTTGCTGGATTGCTTTGCAGAAAGCAAGGCCAGAAGGGGCTACTGACAAGCACAGACTGTGAAGCCTGCAGGCCAGGAAGAATATACTTAAAGCAGTGCCAGAGTTAAAAGATCTGTCAAGGGAAAGAAAGGCTGAAAAAAGTTAAAGGAGACCCATACAGTGAATGTTAAAACCCAGAAGAGAGTATGGGGACTTCAGAGAACTGCGAGAGAGAGAGAGAGAGCGCGCGCGCGCAACACACACACACACACACACACACACACACACACACACACAGTGAGAGAACTATGAAAGGGCTTGAGAGAACAGATCCACAAAGTCCAAAAAGTGACTGAGAGTGGGGGCCAAGTAGCAAAGCCCAGCCAAAGGTCATGAAAGTATGAAAAGCCAGGGACTCAGTCTGAAAGGTGTGAATCAGAGTCAGTGACTTGTGGCCCAGGAGGGGGCAGAAGAAAGTGGGACCAGAGTTCAGAGTGGAGGAGAGACAGAGAGAGATCTTCCAGCCCAAGAGGGGCCAAGTATCAATGTGGCTAGAGAGCCAGAGAGGTCTGAAGCCCAGGAGAGTCAAGTGTTAGCAGGGCCAGGTGCCAGTCTCACTGGCCCAGGAGCAGGGCCAGGACCCAGACAGGGGTCAGAGTCTGGGGGACATAGCTGGAGACCAAAGGGGTCCAGAGGAGCCATAAAATACCAAGCGGTCTGGCAATCCAGAGGCAGGGCCCTAGAAAGATCAAAGAGACCACTGCTAAGACTGCAAGAGCTGGGAGCCCGAGATCTCAATTAGTCTGAAGAGGAGCCAAGAAGCCCAAAAGTGAGAGACTGTGCCCATGAAGCATGAAGATGACCAGGGCAAAAGAGCCTGAAGATTGTTCTTCGGTAAGCCCTGAAAACTACACCCTCCAGGGTCTGGCTAATGTGGTGGAGCTACTTGTGGCAGGGTAGTCTCTACAAGATACCACGTCAGCCCAAAGCAGCGGGGGCTGGACTCAATGATCTTTTGAGGTCCCTTCCAGCCCTTAATTTCTATGTTGCCACCCCAGAGAAAGGCAAGTATAGGGCACCTGAAAACCCCATCTCCCACTGCCTTGTGGATCACCCTTTGAGAGAAGGCTTGGGGGAGCATACCCCAACAGAAAACCCCTTGGTGGAAGCCAAGGAAAGATGTGTGGCAGGACACACCTTGGAGCACCTGTCACTGAAAAGAAAGGACTATTTAAAAAGCAGCCTCTATAAGGATCAAGAAGAGGAATCTCTGGATGAGCTGCAGCATGACAAGGGCCAGGGCCCATTGTAAGCAAAGCCAGCCTCAGTGTCAAAAGTGATTCCATGACATTAGCTAACAAAGTGGGTTGAGCCCCTTCCTTTTTTGTCTTTGTGTTTTGCAGGATGTGGACCATCACTGAAGCATCAAGAAGTTTGCTTGGTACAGAGAAAAAAAAAGTATGCATCGGAATTGTCTTGCTGTGTTTGTGCAATGCTATTGATGCATGTCAGGGTGGGAAAAAGTGGCAGATCTGACTGGCAGCTGGACTCCATTTCCCAGCAGCCCCTGCCTGTGTGGCTGGAGCCAGTTTTCATGGAGACCCCAGCGGCAGTCACATTGTGATACCATGAGGCTGGACTTTCCATGGAGACCGGCTCCAGCAGCACTGGCAGGGAGTATGGCAGGGCATAGAGCTGTTCCAGAGCCCAGCTAGGATCTTGCACCAGTGACAACATGGTCCAGAGCTTCAGCAGAGCAATGATCTGCAGCCTGCATGCCCTGGGCAGAGGCATGCAGGCTGCAGATCATGGCTCTGTCTCAGCTCCAGACCATGCTGTCACTGCTGCAAGATCCCAGCCAGGCTTTGGAACAGCTCCATGCCCTGCCAGGAGGGGCACTGCTGGGCAGGGGAAGCTTGAGAGGACATACAGCTACCCCAGAATTCTCCATAGCCCCCAATAGCCACCCCTCCTAATGTCACCACCACTGCCCACCTTGCACAGGTGATGGCAGCTGAGCCCACACTGCTCCCACTCATAGTGCAGCCAGAGTTTGCCTCAGCCAGAGGCTGGTACCACTGCTGCCTGGCAGTGCTGCTGGGGCTGGTCTCCAGAGAAACCCTGGCCCCACATTATCAGTGTGGATACTGCTGGTTTCTCCATGGAAAAAAAACTGGCCCCAGCTGCATGGGCAGGGGCTGCTGGAAAATGAAGTCCACTCCTGGCCAGATCCAGCTCATGGGCTAGACTTCACCTGCCCCTGCTGTAAATGGTTGTGATATTAACTATGCTAAACAATGAAATATAAGCAGAACTTCTTGATAGGCTATGGAATATCTGCAGAGTGGCTACAGAAAATGGTGCATCATGTGGATCATGGTCTCTAGGGCTTCAAAAAGTTCAGCCATGCTGAAGATCAAGAAGGCTAGATTAACAATTTGTTTTTATTGCCATCCTTTTGTTGGGTTTCTTTTGTTTGTTTGTTTTGGTTTGCTTGTGCTAGGTAAGTATTTAAGCTTCTTATAGTAGAAATAGTAATACAACATAGCTTCATTAAATTCGCAGAATTTGTGCAACAAGAAGTAAAATGGTGGGATCCCAATGGAAACCAGATATGCTGTTTGCAAAGGAAGGGCCTCGCGCTTGGCATTGCTATGGGTTCTTACATAATGGAGAGGCACTGGTGGTGCTGCATCATGAGCAACCTGGTTGGAATGATAAGGAAAGCATTACCTGCTATATAGGAGGGGTAGAAATGCCAGAAACATGTCTGGTCCCCAAACATTTTAATCATAAGATATTTATCTGATCTAAACAGCCATATTCACAATCAGTCAGATAATGTGCTGATTGACAAGAGGAATGCTACCTGAAAAGCTGTGTAAGAGGTTTAATAAGCATCTTGGGCTGTACATTCCCCAGCCCCAGTATGGGAAACCTGTTTAAATCTGATTGGATAAAACTCAGTTGCCGAGTTAGGGAATGCTGAGGCAAGACACCAAATCTGAGGGTGTATGGGTGACATCTGAAATATGGTTGAGAGTTTGTCACAATGTCTAGCCTATTAGAGTCCTTAATCATGAATGCCATCATACTTTCCCCAAGATGACTGGTGGAGGTCCTCCCCACAAATCTCATGAACATTCCAAGTAATTCCCTTGATTATGTTCCATTTATGATGAAGATGTGCATCTTTAAGGAGGATATTGATGGCTATGAAGTGGCATTTAGAGGTTTGCTTTTGAGAATTGGCTTGTAGGTAAAGTAGATATGCATTAGAATAGTGGTCCACGGCAATGGCAAGTGTTACTTGATTTCTAAAAAGTCTGTTTGAGACAAAAGTATCCTCAAGGCCCTCTGTGTCTGACACAGGCAAACACCAAGCAGACACACAGGCTGGGAAATGGAAGACATGTACCAGACTGTTCCATTACATGAAATAAGGGACTCTGCAGCACTGGCACCAGGTCAGTGCCCAAGAGCAGAGCCCTTGGGAT